CCGGTGCTTGCTTGTCTAGCCAGTCCAAACACTCGTGTGGCTGTCGAAGGCCGCCTCCGTTGAGGAGGAGTGCCATCGGACTCAGGGGCCCGACAGTGAAAAGCTTCCTGTCACGGTACTCGGGTTCCCGAGCGACAAGGTCGATGAACAAGCCTTCGATCGGTCGGCACGTATTGAACAGTGTCCCGGCGCCGGCGCTGGCCTCTGCCAATTGGCGCCTCGCGAAGACGCCGAATTCTTCAGTGATGATACCGTCCAAGGGAGGGAGTGACAAGCCTCCATCTCTCAGCTCGTCAGCGACCGACGGGAGACAGAATACCAGTTGGAACAGAGCCGGGACGCAATGGAAGGTGTAGGACTCCACGTTGTGGAGAGCGGCAGCCTCAGCGGCAACGAAGGAGGAGAGGGAATCGTGCACGACGACGACGCGGTGGGAGGAGGTTGAGAGGGAGCGGAGGAGGGTGGACAACGGGGTGCGCAGGTGCTCGAAGACGTCGAACATGGGTTGGAAGTGGGCGGGAAACTTGGTGGAAGCAGAGTTGAGGTCGGGAGGTGGGCTGGGGAAAGCAGGGATGGGGAGCTCGTGGAAACGGATCTGGGAAACAGAGCCGGAGCCCCAGGCGGGATGGAGCCTGGACTTGGCCTGACGGATGTGGGTGCGGGAGGTGGCGTAGTGGACCGAGACACCGGGGCGGCCGCAGAGAAGGAGGGAGAGGTGGAGGAGCTGCGCCAGGTGGCTCTGCGCCGGGAGGGGGACGACCACCACCGCCACGTCGTGAGCTTGCTCATGGCTTCCTCGTTCCATCGCTGCAAATGGAACAAGATCTTCCGTGGACTGTAGGTTGGTACTACCGAAGAGACTCGAGATAGAATAGAAGTATGGCTATGAAGTCTAAATAAAGTATATGAACTCTATCAAATTTTCGTCAAGGTGAATGAATTAATTCATAATTCTCAGGAATTACTTCCTTCCTGCAAATGGGAAGCTGTCTGCATCTTCAAGTGTCATCATCCGTTCATGAATGCTTAGCAGATAAATTTCCTCACGTTATAAAAACCTGAACTCATCCGTCACGCCTTGGATCATTTCAGTGTCACGACCTGCGATGGCACCATCAAAAAAACGATATCTTGCACTCTTGCTTACGATATCTTGCAATAATTATAATATTATTGTGCAATAATTGTCATATTATTGTGCAATAATTGTCATATTATTGTGCAATAATTGTCATATTATTGTACTCTTGCTTACGATATCTGGCCTAACACAATTTGGTCCATATGTCTACACTTGTGACCATTGAGCAGCCGTATAGTGTAGCTCATTTAGTGTCTTCTTCACTAATTACTACATAGCCATTTTGACCTTTTCTGTGGCTTACGCATTTTTAAATATCTTAAATAAACTATATATATATAGACTATTAAAATATTATTTTT